TTTTATTTTATTTATAATTTTATCAAATTTTTTATCTACAATTTTATCATTTTTATTTTTGAAAACAAATTTTATTTAAAAAACTAACAGGTTTTTCCTTGAAAGTAGAATTGAGTTTTTTGCATATTTTCGTTGGATATTTTTAGCATCCTTAAAAAACTCAACCAGCACTTAGGTGCCCTCCCGAAAAGGTAAAAATACATATATCCAGCAATTGAAAGGTACTAACCGGATGTAACCGAGGATCAGGTGGCTTATTGTGGCAGCATAGCGGCGCAATATCACTAACATGGCATACCCACAGTGATTGTCCAGCCTTTGTCTTGGTATTTTTGGTACTTTTGGGTCATTTATGTAAATTAGTTATTTTTTAGCTCCCACTAACATGGCACCCCTATACATGATTGCTTCCGGGCAGCCTTGATACTCTCGTGACTAGTTTTTTTTTTAAATTTCGATTTTTAGTTATTTTTTAAATTTCTACTTTTATTTCGCTGTATTTTCAATAGTCAGTTATGTTTAGTTACCCACAATTACGTATTTGGTCAAATTTGGATATGCAATTGTATTTAATTAAATATTTATTTTTAAAAAATAAAATAAATTTCAATCTAATTTGAAAATGATTTTCAGCCGGCGGTAAAATAATGATTTCTTGTAATTTCATCTGTGTCACTTTTCGTGTGCGATTATCATTGTTTCTGAATCATATAGCAAAATCACTTTGTCGGTATGATTTCCCCTTGCCCCCTCCTTTTGATTTGCATTAAAATATATATTTTTGCCTAAAATTTTTTGTGTTGTGTTACAGATAATTATCATCGATGATAATAGTCCAGATGGAACGCTGGATATCGCCAAGAAATTACAGGACGAATTTGGCAGCGAAAAAATCATCCTAAGACCAAGAGCCGGAAAATTCGGTTAGAATCGTTTGTTTTTCTTTTGTTTTTTTTTTTTTTTTTAATGAATAAATGCAGTCCAAGACGTAGCTAAGCATCATTTTCTGAGAAGCCTGTTCGTTTTTTGTCTAAACTTATATTCATTTTTTGGCCGAGGGGCCCAGCTTAGTTTTGACCTTTGCTATCCAAAACGAGACTCCTTCCACCCAAAATCGAACCAATTCCTATACAGCCTAACTGCGTTTGTACTTTTTGCCCTGAAACAGATAATTTTGGCGTTGAATTTTTGTCCAGTCGAAGAAAGTCTGTTCCCTGAATACCTCAGTTTTTCAAGTGTTAAAACCACCAGAAATATTCAGTATGCGGTGGTTGATTCCATCACTTTGGACAGGAGAGACTTGTGGCCCTAAACTTTGGTCAGAACATAGATATACACTCGGAAACTTCTTTTGTCATAAATGTATGTGTGTGTAATTTGCAATTTTTTAGGCCTGGGAACAGCTTACACACATGGATTGCAGTATGCACGTGGTGAATTTGTGATTCTGATGGATGCAGACCTGTCGCATCACCCAAAATTTATACCCGAAATGATCAAACTGCAACGACACAAGAATGTATGTCTTTTTTTTTGTAACTTAAGGCATTTACATTCAGAAATTTTGGCCTTGACAAGTACTAATTTTGGGGTGCACTCAGCAGTTTCGTTTCTCACAGTATTAATTTTTTGGCACCTTTTTATCGCATTTTTTTTTTGTTGCAAAATAGATTCACAGTTATTAGGCAAAATACGGGCATGATGCTTTGAATAGCTTGATCAGTTGTTGTTTTTTGTAGCCTGTCAAGTTAAATCGTCGGCTCCTTGGCGATATTTCGAGGCAGTAAGGCCCAACTCCTTCGTGGGCCTGCTAAGTCATCTACACAATCCACCGCAACAAAACACTGCACAATACTACTCAAATAACACAGAAACAGCGGCCTTATATAGGTAGCTTCGCGCCATTTCATGCGCTATCTAGGAGGGAGTCATGATGCGAAATTCTATAACAGCATTCCTTCTCACCATTGATGTAGCTGACAATTTCTCCATTCTTCTCTATTTTGAGCCTGCACTAGGCGTGTGAAAACAAGCCATAAATATTAGTGGGATATTCACATGGATTATCCGGATAGTTTTAGTATTCTTGGTAATCTTGATAATCTTTGTAAATCTTCTTTTTTTTGTTTTTTAGTACGATATTGTAACCGGTACGCGTTACGCACATGGTGGCGGTGTTTGCGGTTGGGATTTGAAACGAAAATTAATCAGTCGCGGTGCAAATTTTCTAGCACAGGTACACATTTTTTCCCTAAATTTCTAGATTTAAAATGAAGTCGGACTCTTTTTGTGCTTATAGTTAACCTATGGAAATTTTTCAGTTTCTGTTGAGACCGGGAGTTTCGGATTTAACCGGTTCCTTCCGACTTTATCGTAAGGAAGTGCTGGCAAGGTTAATCGCTGATAGCGTCTCCAAAGGATATGTCTTCCAGGTTAATTTCCACTTTTTTTTCAATCATTTAGTGTAGGAAACAAGTCCTGGTGAGACTAAGGCACCACTCTCGTTTTTTTTTTCAATTATTTAGTGCAGCTGTACCGTCGTCGTGCCACAAGTGGGCCTGAGTCTTTCCAAGATTTGTTTTTTCGTTTCGATGTTGCATGGATATTGGTAAATGCCAAAGAGTCAAAACCACCATCGCTTTAATTCTCGGCACTTTTGAAGGGGGATGCCATGGACAACTTTGTTGGCGAGTGGTTGCTATTGGCATGAGCAACCATCCGAGCTAGCTCTGAGTGCTTTAGGTTTTAGAAATCCGGTTTTGAACCTACGATAGGTCGTTAAAAACTGTTTTCAAACAAATTACTGGTAGTTGCGATAATTTCTATCGGGGGATTGAAGAAAGACGGGGTGAGGGAGGAGGGAGGAAGAGGGAAGGGAGGGTGGGTGTTAG